TAAAATAAGAAAAATGCACTTAAATTATTATTATTATTATTTTATTTCATTTTTTTTGCCCGTGGGATACCATGAAAATGAATAGCCGATTAATTCAATAACCTATGTTCTGCCAGTTTTCACCTGTGATATTATAACAGTGATAAGAATTAAACTTGTATTGACTCTGAAGTATGCAGACGTCTTTTTGGCGGGATCTGTTGCCATGGTGAATCGTAATTTCGGAGCTCCATTGATCATGGCTTTTCATAGTCATGGTGCACGCGCTAAACTCAGAGTCAACCTACTCAGAGTCGATTGAACTAACTCTGTTCAGCTGATCTGAACCCGAAAACTCAGAGTTTCCCAGCTCAGAGTAAGTCAACTCAGAGCTCAAGTTTTAACTCAGAGTTGGTTGAACCTCCTTATTGAAACGGGCCCCTGGAAAGTCTTTTATGTAGGTATGTATTATTTTGTTTTATTTGTGCATGCTTTTGGGTTGGAATTGTCTATGATTGTATACATTATATGAATCTATTGCATCAGTTCAGCTACTGTATTTACATTATGATGATAACGATGCTTTCTGAATTTACAGTCTCGCATGATCCAGACAGAGCGGGGAAGAGTTGTTCTGTATCAGAGAGGATCATGATGAGATGAGGTAGAAGAGAAAACTTTGTCCAATAAGGATTTTTTTTAAATACCTGAAACAATACAATTCCATATATGTTTAACTTAGGCAACCAACATCACATAGTTCAGTTTCATTTAGATTTATTAGGAGTATTTGTTTAAGTTTTAACAGCAAATCTAATCACACTGAGGTTATCTGAACTTACTATACCTTGACTTTAATGACTTTAATTAAACTCTGTGTGATTTAACAGATACAAATGGAGTGTAGAGATGAAATAATGCATACTGAAAACTGCTGGAGCATCAGAAACTACAGAAGAGCAAAACCCAACAGGACAGAGAGAGAAATGGAGGACAGAAATGAAAGACAAACCAGTGGCTCTCAAGAGAAAAGCAGACAGAGACTTGTTAGATGTGACAGTATGAAGAGAATAAAACCAACATGTAAGTGTTTGTTCATTATGGAACTTGCTTTAATTCTTCATCACATTTCTAATCTTGCTAGATACTTTTTTTCTTATACGCCTGTCATAAAGTGGCACATTCAGTCAGATTTATCAGACTTTCTGCAGTCATCTATGATTGACATGTATTATTGATTGAGAACATAAACCCTGATAAATCGAAAACAATGAGGATAATCTGATATATGTTTGTGATTTCTAGTCTCGCATGATCCAGAAGGGCCTGTAAAGTTTGATTCAGATATTCTGAAGAACACACACCATCACTGACCTCCAGCTACTAACAGATGAAAACCTGAACATAATCACCATCATCTTCTTAGACTCTATCACTCCAGACTGCAGTCTGTTGAGCTTCTGGACTCTTTCAGTATTTTTCAGACTCATCTGAGTGCAAACTAACAGACTGATGCACTAAAGCATGTCTGTGGATTGAGGAGGAATCTGGAGAACCTGAAGGAAACCCACAATAACACAGACAACAATAGAATACATAGAAAAGCCACTGACTTCAACCACAACTTAGTGATACCCACTGAGCCACCTAACATTTCATACTATACAGTACTTAAATTATCTTCTGTATTTAAGAGAAATTAAGTGGCATGTTGATCTGCCAGTCACTGGTCTTTAATGCTTTCCTCCATGTAAAAAGCCATGTTTATAGTTTTTTCACACTTGAAAATCGAATGTGTTGTGGGCAATATTAGAGTGTGAACGGATTTACACTTTGAATTTCCAGTAGAAACAGTAAACCATCCTGGTACCTTTGGGAAACTCATTTCATCATATTATGATTTGGGACACACCAACTAATTTTTTTGCAAATTTTTGGATGCAGCACATATCAACACTGAAGAACAGTCTCAAAGATTCATTACTGACAGTGTGGGATTACAAATGTATAAAATCTAGGTTCCAATGTAATAGAATATATACTGAAAAAGTTATG